ACTAAAGGGTAGGAAAGAAACACTGTGGTTCTTACTGTTGCCTTGAACATGGGGATATTCTGAGGGGGTCTTCAGCAACTGCATAGTTTTGGCTATGGCTCAGTAACCAGTGCATACCACCGCTGAAGCCCTCTGGCTATAACTGTGGCCCTGACCTTGGGCATGAATGGCATTGAGAACTCAGAGTAACTGCTTTCTATCAGTATCAGTTCCATTCCTAGATATATACTACCATCAGCAGAGAGGATCTCCTCAATCCCTGCTGCCTTTCTACATAAGCAGTTACAAAGGCCACTCACTCCCTATTCCAAATCTGACTGTGCATTGCTGCCACAACTTAGTGTGAGTACCTCAGAGTGCTTCCCAGCACCACTTCTCTCTGTGTAGTATCTGGGACCACACCACTGACTAGTCAGAAGCAAGTTGATTCAGGTTCCTCATCATTGCTGGTGAGTTCCTTGCTATTATCAGACCTATTGTCCGTGGATAGCTCTATTGCCCAATAGAGGATACCACACACACACACACACACACACACACACACAACCCCATTGTAGAAGTAGCAACACAGTAAGCTCCACATACCTACTGCTGTCTGAACCACACTGGCCTCAACTGCTAGAGTGCCCAGACTCTTGCGTAGCCCCACAAAGACAGTGGTTCTCTCTGGCTCTATCACAGTACACACTGTGCTTACAATCATTAGTCATAGGCAAAGAAGCTTGAGTGCACACTATCATGCCCAACAAGCGGTAGTCAACATTGTGTAACAAATCAACACCTCAAACACAATGTCAGGAGAAAGCCACTTTTTAAATCCACACCACTAAATTAGTAGAGGTGCCTGATTTACAAAATGAAAAAAAATTAATATAGAACAAGAAATAGGTAAAGATAATATGGTACCTCAAAATTAACATAAAACTAGCAACACATTTCAATGAAATTTATATGGATTAAATTGCCTGATAAGGGATGTAAAAGTGATTATTTAAAAATCTCAAATAAATCTAGACAAGTACATCTAATCAGTTAAATGAAGTTAGGAAAACAATTCAAGATATGATGGAAAATGCAGCAAAAGGCTATATTTTGAAAAAAAGCAAATAGAAATCTTAGAAATGAGTAGTTCAGTAAATAATAACAAAGACTAAATCAAGAACAAGAAAGGATACCTGAATTTGAAGGCAAAAAAAAAAAAAAAAAAAAAAAAAAAAAAAAAAAAAAAAAAAAGTACCAAAATATAAAAAAAAAAAAAAAAAAAAAAAAAAAAAAGGAAAAGCAACTAAGAAAACAGATCAATCCCTGGTACAAAACAAAACAAAACAAAACTCAGATTATCCCACCCAACAGGTGCAGAATATACAATCTTCTTATCACCACATGGAACTTTCTCTAAAATAGGCCACATACTTTTGCCACAAAATAAACCTTAATAAATTTTTTAAAATTTGAAATTATATGCTGATTTTTCTTTCAATGGGATACAATTAGAAGTCTATAAGAAATGAAATTTTAGAAATTATAAGCATACATGAAGTTTGAACAATTTTAGTGCAGACTATTAAAAAAAATTTAGACTTCAAAATGTCTTGAAATAAAATGAAAATGCAAATACCAAAACTTATAAGATACAGCAAAAGCAGTCCTAAAAAGGAAGTTTATAGCAGCAAGTGCCTATATCAAAAGTATAGAAAGATATCAAACAACCTAACATCTCAAAGACTACTTCTCAAGAACTTAGAAAAGCAAGAACAAACCAACCCCAAAATTAATGGAAAGAAAGAAAAATTCCACAGAAATAAACTGAGACTTTTAAAAACTATACAAAAGATCAATGAAACATTGAGGTGGGTTTTTTAAAAAAACAATAAAAAATGGACAACCCTTAGCTAGACTAACCACTAAAAAAAGAGAAAAGACACAAATGAAGTCAAAGATGATAAAGGAGCCCTTACAACCAAATCATGGAATTACAAAGGATCATTATGAAAAACTGCATACTAGCAAACTGGAAAACCTAGAATTGGACAAGTTTTTGGACACATATGATCTATCAAAATTGAACCATAAGTACATAAAAACATGAGTAGACCTATAACAAGCAATGATATTACATCAGCAGCAAAAAAACTTCCAAAAAAGAAAAGCCTTGGACCACACCTAGCTTCATGGCTAAATTTACCAAACTTAAGAGAAGAATAAATACCAATTCTTATCAAATTACTCCAGAGAATCAAAGGGGAGAAAGCCCTTCCAAATTCATTCTATGAGACCAGCATTACTGTTTTAGTCACTTTTTCTTCACTGGGACAAAATCCCTGCCATCTACTGCTTAAAGTAGGAGAGGTTTACTTTGGCTCATGGTTTCAATGGGTTCAGTCCATCATCATCTCGCTCTAATTTTGGTTCTGGAAACAGACTCTGCTTTTGCAATCAGGCATCTGCTCCTTTCAAACTATCACCTTGAAGACCTTCTTAATCTCTCTAAGCCTGAACTCTCTCATTCATAAAATGGGGATAATTATAGCACTACTTCATATGATTGCTACAAGGATTAAACGAAAAGGTACAAGCATTCAGAATCATGCCTGATATGTTGTAGTCAATAAATATTATTATATTCTCAAAATACATTTTAATAACTACCATTTGATAGGCCCAAGAGTAGAGCAGTAAAATGAACAGTGGTATTATGTGGAAAACAAACAATAAACTGGACAGGAAGCAAAAAAGTAGATAAGGCATCACCTGTATTGGAAGCAAACAATTATAATTAATTATTCCCATAACTTATATTGTTAAACCAAAAATGCAAAGGATTAAAACATAAAAATCTTGGTACCTATATCAAGATATAAATATACAACACTAAGGGCCGGGGATTTAGCTCAGTGGTTCTAGTGCCTGCTTCGCAAGCACAAAGACCCGAGTTTGATCCCAGGTACAAAAAAAAAAAAAAAAAAAAAAAAAAAAAAA